CAAACACGCCATTGTGGACTGAGATGAGAGTTACCGTTGGTTCTGCACAATTTCCTTGTTCAGCATTCTGGTGGCTCTGCTTCGGACGTCCATCCTTCTTCCATTTAATGCAGTTCCTGATCCAGTGCCCCTTTTTCTTGCAATAGTGGCAGGTGTCGAATCTCCGACCAGATGCTCCTGAATCCTGACGATGCTCCTTTTTTGCTGTGGTAGAAAAAGCCTCCTGGCTTCCCTTTTCGTCATTTTCTTTTGTTCTAAAGTTTCTCTCAAACATGACGATTTGATTAGTTAATTCGTCGAAAGTCTTTTCTTCTTCTTTTGTCAAGAGCATCCAACTTTGACGGAACGTTTCGAATGTTTTTGGCAAAATATGTAGCGTTTTACAAACAAGTATTAAATCTGGCAGCTCATTTTCATTTTTAGCCTTCAAAGCTTGATTTAAATCGTTCCATAGACTGCGCAATTTTGCTATGTGGGTTGATACATCGTTACCTGGATTCCAAGAGAAAGCGAAAAACTCGTTGCATATCCTGAATACCTGATCCTTCGCCGTTGCTTCAAACTGATTTTTCCCACGTATCGTGTGCTGTCTCCTTGTCCATGATCTTCTGGTACACCGAGTCCGTGACCGTGACCGGTAATCATGGATTTTGCATAGCTGTTGGCCTTACGAAAAAAGTCGCTCATCTCCTTGTGCTTCTTTTCATCTACTGTTGAGGCACCTTCTGGTAATGGATCCGGTTTGATGATCTTTCCATCCAACGCGTCGAGAGCACCGTCGTGGTAATCAATCAGGTCCCTTATTTTTCTTTTCCAAATCGGCCAATCGGTCGCTCCTGAGAGCTTCGTCACGTGCTTCGCCAAATCCATTGTAATCGAGAAGAATGCGATCTTTTCTTTCACTTCAACTTGAACAAAACGTTCCTGGGCCCATAACCTATTATAACTTTTACCTTTTGAGTTATTTTGGCCAGTAAATAAACTATATTTCTTTAAAAAACTCTGTCTTGTTTATTCACTCTCTTCTACAGCTTTTTAGGTTATATTTTTTATGATGCTAGTGATGTGTTTTTTCTTGTTTCGATACAATCGATATGTTATTACGAGTGGCACTCTAACTTGGCGGGTTTTTGAATTAGAAACATTTATCTTCAACAAAAACAGTGTATGCCTCGCACGAAAGAACAGAGAAGCAATAATAAATTAAACAAGTGTGTACCCACAAAAATCGTTATAATTTGAATTAACAAAATAATCTGCGACACATACATTTATTTATGTTTATCATTATTTATTATTTATCATTATTTAACTTAAAAAATAAACATTTTACTTAAGCTTTGTTAAACTTAAAACTAATAATACTAATACAAACCTGACTGCTTTTATGTCACTCTATCGAAATCTGCGCCATCCAACGCAAATTTGTTCATAAAAGCGGCTGTAAAAATATAAATTATTATAAGTATATAAGTATTAAAAAACATACGAAAAATATACATACCTTTGACGGATGACGTCATAATCATCACTCGAATGCACATTTTGGACTCTGTCCCAAACCAGGACCATTGGCGCGCCACTTCGTCGGAAATGAAGTCTCGCCAGCATAAATAAATATAAATCTAGTAAATATTAGTTGATTAGTAAGAGATTGTACACATTAATCAATTAAAATTTAACACTTACCGTTGAAAACACGTGCGTCTTGTAAAAAACTGCTCATTCACGTCCGCACAACTCGCCGGTCAAAAGAAAAAGAGTCGCGACGATATAAATTCCTCAAACCAAAAGACTTAAAAGATGATGCAATAATATTTGCCTCTCGCTAAATAACAAAAAACAGGCAAGCGACAAAAGATGGAAGGAGAAGAACCGTTCACCGAGTTCTAGAAATTTCGTTGGCGACAAGATTTTTAACGCGTGCAGTGCGTTTTAGTGTCCGTTAGTGGGACATTTGCGGCATTTGCACGGGTTCCAGTGTTCGCCCGTTTCAATATCTGTATTCGGGCCAGGTTTCGACAATTAGGCAAACCTATTGCGGTATGTCCGCTATTTGGCCGCCCAATGTACGTTTCAGTGTCCGTTAGCAATACGTTTTCGGCATATTCACGAGCAACGCCACACGGTTTGCTTTTCGTCCGTTTGCGCGTCCGTTTTTGAGCATTCCCCGAACCTAATGCAGAAACTCCGATTCTTTGTTCGTATTTAATATTTTTAGCGGACATTTCTCGGATCCATCAGCACTGAGACCGCTCTTTGTCTGCTGGGATCATATAGCTGCCATACAATTGTTCGATAAATTTTTTTTAAAATCATTATAACTTGGCTGTTTTTCAACATTTTTGCATAATTTTTGAGATGGCCATTTTATATTACTTCAGAATTTCGGTTTTAATTTTATGAAAATAGGACGACTATATCATATAGCTGCCATAGGAACGATCGGGAAATTAATAGAAAAAATTATAACTTCGTTGTTTTTCAACGTATTTTCATCTACTCTGAGGTATAAGCTGTTTTTATTATTTCAGAATTTTTGTATAAATTTTATGAAAATCGGACAATTTTATCATATAGCTGCCATAGGAGTGATCGGTAGATGTAGAGAAAATGTAAAGCTGGGAATGTAAAACTATAATAGGGTCTTTCCACACAACATTAAAGCACATTGAACATCCATTGAAGAAACGGTCCATAAGGTTTTGCCGTTCCGAATTTTCCCAAATGGACCGTCGTTAGATCAACATTAAAACCTAAACACGGTTTGTTTGGCGATAGTAAGGTGATAGTTTTTCGGTGTAACTCTGATTCTTCTTAAATTGACCATTCACCACGAAAATGTAAACAAACTTGGCGAGGAACAAATGAAAAATGGAATTTAAAACGTGGCACCAAAGCTACAAGCATGCCCAACATAGTTGTTGGCGTTTTTTCTGTATATTCTTGCCCCAATATGTCCCCAATTGTTACTATTTAATATAAACCGCCTGCCTCTACCTTATTTTAAAGATTTTGGAATTCGCTCTTTGTTAGAGAAAAATCCTTAGAAAAACTAAAATTCCGTGTCATTTAATTCATTTAAATTTAGTGCGGATAATTTCTGACGCAATCTGTGCCTTTTGCTGTTGTACAAAAGCCAAAATAGTTGGTAAATGCTCCATTTCAAATTTGCAACTGCCAATTCGACAACCTTTGTTTACGTTTTCATGAGCCACAGCTGATCGATCAGCTATTCGGATGTTGAATGTGCTTTGATGTTGTGTGGGAACACGAGTTTCACATATGTTAAAAATCCCAAACGTTCCTCACAAATGTGCTGTGTGGGAAGACAGTATAACCGTCAAACTGTAAACATAATAAGTATAGGTAAAATTATATGAGACCCTGTTTTGTGTGTGTTTTCAGCATTTTATTAATGCTATGTATAAATATACAACTTTTATATATTTTCTTTTATTTTTTTTCTAATTATTCAACCAGAATGGCTTGATTCTTAATGATCCAATTTCAATCTGCAAGGGTATACAAACTTCGGCGTGTCGAAGTTAGCTTCCTTTCTTGTTTTAATTAAATCAGAAATTAAATTATGTATAAACACTACCGCATTAACTGAGATTTTATTAAAGATTTGACAGCTCCGTAGGGTTGTATACAAGTGCGAACAAGCCGACTATATGACACTTCTAATGCATTGACTAATGTATTATAGGGTCTTCCTACACACCGTCGAAGCGCATCCACCGTCCGTTGAACAAACGATCCATAAGGTTTTGCCGTTCCGAATTTCTCATTTTGTACCGCGGTTAGAGTGCATCTAAATTTAACCACCGTTTGTTGGCAATAGTTAGGCAATAGGAGGTAAAACCCCACCACAAATCGACGGAAAGCGAACTCGACGAGGAGGAGCTACTGCGCTCAGACGACGAGACGCTAGCTCCGTCCAATACAGAGGGAGGTGTAAAGACAAGCACACCTCAAACGACACAACCGAAGCACACTAAAGCGGCGGCAAGCCAAGCCAAAGCGACCGGTGAACACGGGAAGACAAAACCGTGGACACACCAACAACGAAAGGCGCAGGCAAGCAAGGCCCATTTCATCCTCGCCAAAATAGCGAGGAATGAAAAGGAGGGCAAAGCCGACCCGCGCGACGCTGCAGACAAAGCCAGATTTCTAGCAGTGATCGAGGAATACGAGCGCTACGAGAAGGAGCACCCGGAGACGTCTTTGCCTCCTCAAGCAAAGCGTAACCGCTCACAAGAGGTGAGTGAGAGCGCTCCAAAGAGGGCCAAGGACGCTAAGGGAGCACCGAGGCCGACCACGTTCGTCAAACCGGCGAAAAAGTTCAGCGAGGTGGCCAGAGACAGCCTCGCAATGGCACTTATAGATGAGCTCAACGACGATGGGCGCCTGCTGATGGAGAAATGGGAGGAGGTCGAGACCCAGTTGGCGGAGATGGTAACCGACAAATTACTGTCCGAGCCAACGGGCCAGTCACCCTCCTTTGACTCCTCAGACATGGTTAGGGGGCACCGGGTAATCAGGTGCGACGACGAGTTGTCGCGGGATTTCCTGGCGGATTGCGTTGCCAGTCTAAGCAAGGCATGGAAAGGGATTAGCATAAAGCTAGTCCCCGCCAAGGACATCCCAAGGAGACCCAGAGCTCGCATCTGGTTGCCCAAGGGGCTGTCTAGCCATGAAAGGGTGCTCAAGACTCTGCGAGCAATGAATAAGGGAGTCGACATGGAGGACTGGGCCATTCTCAGAGCTGAGAGAGAAATGAAGTCCAGCCAGCCATATCTGTTCTTAATCAACCAGCGCTGCCTAGAACAGCTGAAGGCAGCAGACAACAAGGTCCGGTACGGCATCAGGAAAGCCAAGGTGAAGGTCTTCCTAGACGAACCGGACGACATCCTGGAAGATGAAGTCGAGGACGCCAATAAGCTGCTGGACGATTTGGCGATCGACGACAGCACCCCCAACACCACCCCGATCTAATGCCGACGGTCGTGCAGATAAACCTGAAGCGCAGCTCCCACGCTTCAGCTAATCTGGGGGTCCTTCTCCGGGAGAAGGACATCGACATCGGCCTTATACAAGAGCCATGGACTAGGGACGGACAAATCTCTGGCATGGCCATAAAGGGATACACAACATTGTTCACAAACTCGACAGGTAGGCCGAGGGCGGGTATAATCATTAAAAACAACCTTAATGCTCTTCTCTACCCCAATCTCAGCAACTTAGATCTAGCAGTGGCAAGATTCAAGGCGGCGGATGGGACAGCCATACTAATAGCCTCCGGTTACATGGCCCACGACGAACCTGCACCACCTGAAGCGGTTAATAGGGTGATGCAATGGGCCGAGGAGACTAAGACGACGCTCATCCTCGGGTGCGATGCCAACGCAAGGCACACACTGTGGGGAAGTAAGGAGACAAACGAAAGGGGTGAGTCTCTCTTCGATAGTATTATATGTCGTGACGTCAATATTTGTAACAAAGGAAACACGCCCACCTTCATCTTTCCAAGCACGGAAGGATTTCAGGGCTGGGAGGAAGTCCTAGACATAACCCTCCAAATGGAGCATAGTGATTACAAGGTAAGAAATTGGAGAGTCTCTACACAAGACTCGTTTTCAGACCACAGGTACATATTCTTCGAAATCGTGATGCCGGTATATGAAACGGCGCCGAAGCGAAACCCTCGAAACACTGACTGGGACAAATACGGAAAGATTGTACAGTCAAAGGTCAAAGACAGAAGGATCAAGACCCGATCCACTCCGGAGAGAATAGATAAGGAAGTCGAGGACTTCACAAATATTCTGAACAAAGCCTACAAAGAGTCATGCAGACTAACATACTCTAAGAAGACATACCCACCATGGTGGAACAAAGAGCTATGCGAGCTCAGAAAGAAAGTTCGAAAAGCCTTCAACACAAGTTACGAAACCAAAGACTGGCAGCCGTACAAAGCAATACACAAAGAATACAAAAAGGCAGTCTACGTAGCCAAGAAGGAATCTTGGAGCAGCTACTGTGAATCGCTGGAAGGAGTCAAAGACACGGCGAGGCTAAGTAAAATCCTATCGAGAGGACACACAAGCCCCACGCTCATAAACAAACCTGACGGGACAGGAAGTACGTCGGCTGAAGAGTCACTGGAAATCCTGCTGAATACGCATTTCCCAGGAAACCAAAAAGAAGAACCTAGAATAATGGAAAGCCAGGGGGCAGACCAGCAGCTACAAGTAGAGATCATCACCATGGAAAGAATCCATTGGGCGATAGATTCCTTCGACAAATACAAAAGCCCGGGCCCAGGCGGAATAATACCGGCAATGCTACAAACAACAAAAGCAAGCACGGGAAAATGGCTGCAAGCAATCTTCCAGGCATGCATCAAAACAGCACACATACCACTTCCATGGAAGGAAGCGAGGGTAGTCTTCATACCAAAACCAGGAAGAAGGGGACACATCCAAGCCAAGGATTATAGGCCGATAAGCCTTACCTCCTTCCTAATGAAAACACTGGAACGGATCATTGATATCCACATCAGAGAAAGAACGGAGAAAAACCTTTCCAATGCGCAACATGCGTACAGGAAAGGCCGATCCACGGAAACAGCATTACACGAGGTAGTGCGATACATAGAAAAGGCTCTACTTTTCAAAAACTACGCCATGGCCACCTTTCTGGACATAGAAGGAGCCTTCAATAACGTCAATGCGGATTCCATCCTGAGTTCCCTCAACGGTATAGGAGTAGAGGGAGGCATCAGGGCATGGATTGGCGCAATGCTGACGAGCAGGAGGATAACAGCCGAACTGAGTGGCACTCATCACACAAGATATGTGAAGAGGGGCACACCTCAGGGGGAGTCCTGTCCCCACTGCTCTGGCTGATAAACATGGACGACGTACTAAGAACACTAAATAGCGAAGGAGTAAAAGTGGTAGCATACGCAGACGACGTAGTCCTACTCACTTCAGGACCATTCCCCGACGTCATCAGCGAACTAATGACAAGGGCACTTACTAAACTCAATGCATGGGCAAAAGCCTGCGGATTGGGCATAAATCCAAGTAAAACGGAACTAATGCTCTTCACTAGAAGAACTAAGATCCCTAGCTTCACAAAGCCAAAGATAGATGGCATAGAACTAGAGATATCACAGCAGGCAAAGTATCTGGGAGTGATACTGGATGCGAAACTGTCATGGAAACAAAACATCAACGAGAGAGTCAAGAAAGCAAGCACAGCATTCTATTCCTGCAGGAAGATGTTCGGAAAGAACTGGGGCATCCACCCCAGGATAATAATATGGCTTTACACAGCGGTGGTAAGACCCATACTCACATACGGAGCACTAGTATGGTGGCCAGCATTAACTAGGGCATACAACGTACAGAAACTAACAAGGATACAGAGATCGGCATGCGCAGGAGCCACAGGAGCACTGAGATCATGCCCCGCGGCGGCGCTGAACGCCATCCTGAACATAATACCGATAGAGCATTTCATCAGGAACACTGCAGCACAAGGTGCGGTACGACTAAAGGCTAGCCAAAGCTGGAAAGACTACCACACCGGGCACTGCAGGATTCTGAACGAGATAAACTATCGGACGACAGTAGACACAGACTACAAGACAACCGAACTGCGATTCGGTAACACATACACCACTATATACCCTACAAGGGAAGATTGGAAGAGAGGGAGAGTAACCGAACCGGACGAAGTATCACTCTACACCGACGGCTCAAAGATGAGCGACGGAGTAGGGGCCGGAATCTACGCCGAGAGCTGGAAGGTGGAGGAATACTTCCACCTCCCAGAGTCAGCGACGGTTTTCCAGGCGGAGGTTCTCGCGATACTGAAAGCTGCCGAACTTTCGCTAAACCGAGGCCTCCGGAATACCAAGGTGAGGATATACTCAGACAGCCAGGCGGCGATCGAATCCCTCGCACAAGCACGGACGAATTCAAAACTAGTGGCCAAATGTAAAGGGGCACTAAACAGACTAGCAGAAGACAACAGGGTACAAATAGCCTGGGTACCCGGACACTATGACATAGACGGAAACGAGAAAGCAGACGAGCTGGCCAGAAAAGGGTCAGAAGAACACTCAGCAGACATACAGATCTCAGACATACAGATCTCCCTGAACTCAGTCCAGACGGAAATTCATGACTATTTCAAAAAACTAGCCAGCAAGGAATGGTCGACGAAGGCAGAGCACAGAAGATCGAAACTATGCTGGCCAGAATTCAATAGGAAGAGAACCGCAGAACTGATCTCCAAGAGCAAAAAGGACATCAGGAGGATAGCGGCAACCATCACCGGCCATTGGCCTATAGGCACGCAAGCCTGTAAGATGGGTCTACCTTACAACCCACAATGCAGAAGCTGCAAGGAACCAAGCGAGCAGGAGACACCAGAGCATCTGCTGTGCCACTGCCCGGCACTCAACAAACAAAGAGCCCGACACTTCGGAGCACACCAACTCGAGTCACTAGGGGAAATTGGAAGGCAGCCAGTAGCGGCCATCCTAGCTTACCTGAATGACACGGGCTGGTACTAAGTAGGGCGCAGACAACAGCAAAACGAGGGTGTGGATCAAAACGGAGCTCAGCTCTAATTGGAGGCGGCCAGGGCTGCCTCACTACTTATACCTACCTACCTACCTAGGCAATAGTTTTCAGGGTTTGCATTTACTACTCCATAGCAGCAAAATTCATAAAAATATTGCTATGCTATTGCTTACGCTCTCGCTTTGACGAGAGCCGTAGCAGAGCCGTAGCAGAAAAACGGCAAAGCCTATGCTCTGCTCTGCTCGTAGTTTTGCCGCTTCAAAAACTACGCTATAGCTATAGCAAAAAATTCAAAGCAGTTGCTCTGCGTAGCCGTAGCAAAAAAATTGAGAGCGAGATGAGAGCAGAGCAAAAGGAGTTTCGTCATATGCTACCTGCTGTCGCTGCAGCAGAAAACAAAAACAAAACACAGGAGGACAGAAAGAGAGAGAAACAGGGGCACGCGACAGCCGTAGCTACGGCTCGTAGCATATGACGAAATTCCTTCTGCTCTGCTCTCGCTCTCATCTCGCTCTCAATTTTTTGCTACGGCTACGCAGAGCAACTGCTTTGAATTTTTTGCTATAGCTATAGCGTAGTTTTTGTAGCGGCAAAACTACGAGCAGAGCAGAGCATAGGCTTTGCCGTTTTTCTGCTACGGCTCTGCTACGGCTCTCGTCAAAGCGAGAGCGGTAGCAATAGCAAAACGAAATACTACGGGAGTAGCGTAGTTTTTCAAACGCTGACAGTTTTTCGAAAAAAATCGATTTTTTTCATAACGATCGGAGCATTAGAACCGAAGTTGTAGCTATTTATAGTTCACGACCTGCACATCGGCTTGAACAAACTTGAAACTTTAAACGCGATTATCTCAGAATCTTGTTTTTTCGAAATTACCTTTGCGGTGGACACGATTACCAAAAAACTATTATTCCGATCAACACCAAATTTTGACCACTTATTTATTATAATAGAAACTAGTCCGTGAACGAAGGATTTTTAATTTTTTTTGAAAACTACCTTTTTTAGAGCATAAAAACCGAAAATTTTATCCCTTCAAAAGGACATTTTTTGTTAAAATCGTCGCCATTTTTTTTAAATCAAAATTTTTACAAATCCTTCGTTCACGGACTAGGCAATACAATATACTAACGACATTTTTTTGAATTTTTGATTTCTAATGAACCGTTCTCGGGATATGATGTCCACCGCACTATCGGAAAAAGAGGGTATTTGAATTCGGCCATAACTTTTTTATTAGTTAATATTTTTTATAAAAAATTTGAATAAGTACCCAGAAAGATGTACTAAACAACGCCGGCAAAACATTTTTAATAAATATTCTTTATGGTGTCAAAAAAAATCGACAAAACTTCATATTTTTGCGCGGTACAACTGTATATAACCCCTTAACAGTGAAAATTTGACCATTCACTACGAAAAGATGGCAAGGAACAATTGAAATATGGAATTGAAAAGGTAGCGCCAAAGCTACAAGCATGCCCAAAATAGTTCTTGGTCTTTTTCTGTGTAAATTATTTAGTTATAGAGCCGGCTGGCTATGCCTCCGTGGCAGGGGTGGAGACGGCTGGCTGGATGTCCGTGGCCGGGGGGTCGGCTGAAGGTAGATGCAGCTAGTGGCCCTAGCCACTGTGGATATCAAAGGGTGGCCGGTTGGCCGTAGCTTCAAGTGATGAAATACGTTCAGAGGGTAACTGCCCTCTTACCCCGCTGGCCTTGAGACTCAGACTGGGTATCAAATGATAAAATCTTTTACGGCGGAGTTTTTTTTTCTCGAGAGTTGGCTCTTTATTCTTTCAGAACATGAAGCGAACTAAGTTGACAAAAAGTAAAACGTATGGCCGGATGCTCTTGGCATCTTTGCTGACCATGCAAAAAATCATACGATCGCTGGCCACCAATGGCACAAGGGCACGGCCCATAGCGGTGCCCTTTGCTGGCTCAGCTCCCGGACACCATAAGTGTGGTACAACATGGAAAACATTAGGGTTGTCATACGAGTGTAATATATAAAATACTAGTAAGCCCGGCGAACTCCGTTACGCCACCTTCGGCAAATTATCCGTTTATCCGTTTTCCTACCCAGCTCGCGAAGCAAAATGCAGCAGAAGCGCAGAGAACCCGTTCAGGCTGTCCAGGTCTTCGGACGCAAGAAAACCGCCACCGCTGTGGTCTACTGCAAGCGTGACAACGGCCTCCTGAGGGTGAACGGTCGTCCCCTGGAGCAGATTGAGCCCAAGGTCCTGCAATACAAACTGCAGGAGCCCATCCTGTTGCTCGGCAAGGAGAAATTCGCCGGTGTGGACATCCGTGTGCGCGTCAACGGTGGTGGTCATGTAGCCCAGATCTACGCCATCCGTCAGGCCATTTCCAAGGCTCTCGTTGCCTTCTACCAGAAATACGTCGATGAGGCCGCCAAGAAGGAGATCAAGGACATTCTGGTGCAGTACGACAGAACCCTGCTGGTCGGCGATCCGCGTCGCTGCGAGCCCAAGAAGTTCGGCGGTCCAGGTGCCCGTGCCCGCTACCAGAAGTCGTACCGTTAATCTACTCTGGTATTCATTTTGGATTAGAGCTATTTTTACAATTTGAAAATGGTGTTTGCACGCAAGTGCGAATAAAACGGAATAATTAACTGTAAAAAAAAAAAAAAAAAGAAAGGAAGCTAACTTCGGCACGCCGAAGTTTGTATACCCTTGCAGATTGGTTTTGATGTTTATATTATAGATTTAAATGCTGAAAACACTCACAAAACAGAGTTTCATTACATTTTACCTATACTTATTATGTTTACAGTTTGACAGTTACAGTTTTACATTCCCAGCCTTACATTTTCTCTACATCTACGGATCGCTTTATGGCAGCTATATGATATAGTTGTCCGTTTTTTATAAAATGTATACCATAATTCTAGAATAATAAAAAAAGCTTATATCTCAGAGTAGATAAACATACGTTGAAAAACAACGAAGCTATAATTTTTTTTCCTATTAATTTCCTGATCGTTCCTATGGCAGCTATATCATATAGTCGTCCGATTTTCATAAAATTTTTACCAAAATTCTGAAATAATATAAAATGGTCATATCTAAAAAATGGTGCAAAAATGTTGAAAAACAGCAAAGTTATAATTTTTTTCTACAAATATATCGAACATTTGTATGGCAGCTATATGATATAGTCGTCCGATCCGGCCCGTTCCGACATATATAGCAGTGAGAGCATATAGAAGACGATATGCTAAGTTTCATTCATATAGCTTTAAAACTGAGGGACTAGTTTGCGTAGAAACAGACAGACGGACAGATGGACAGATGGACAGACGGACAGACGGACAGACGGACAGACGGACAGACGGACAGACGGACAAGGCTAGATCGACTCGGCTTTTGATGCTGATCAAGAATATATATACTTTATAGGGTCGGAAACGTCTCCTTCACTGCGTTGCAAACTTCTGACTGAAATTATAATACCCTGCAAGGGTATAAAAAAAAAAAATAGAGGTGCTCTTTGGTAAACCATATTTTTTGTGATGTGTTGTGGTTAATGGAATTATCTAGGGACCAAATAGCCCCTGGGATGCTAAAATCACCAAGAACTACTAATTAAGTGGTCCCTACCCGAAATTCTTTTAGAGAACAACTGAATAGCGGAAATATGGTTTCAATAAATAGGAAGTTTCGACAATGGAGGAATATAGTCCGATCTAGCCGGTATACTGTGAACAGAGCATTAAAAACTTCGGAGCTCAGAATCTCCGGCTTTAACCAGGTTTCTGTAAACACAACACTTGGGAAGCAAATGTGACACTATTATAGTACAATTTAGGAAGCTTACTGCGTAAGCCTCTAGCATTCTGATAGGAGATACCAAGGAAGTTTGGTAGTTTTTTGGGACTCAATTGGAAGACGTAGAAGGCGCATTGGTCAAATCGGGCCTAGGAAGAGTAATTCCAACTGTCCTTTTTTTCTCTTTCTTTGCTTCGAATTCATTGACAATCACATGCTTTGGTCAGTTTTGGACAGTTTGTCAAAGAATTCCTCAGGAACATATATTTTGAAAGATGAAACTGTCTCGTTGGTGGTATTGCCATAAGGGGTTTTTTCAAGGCAGGCTGATTATCCGCCTTACCAATTTCGGCCGGTAGTCCGGGCCTGACACCCTGGTAGGGATCTGGGGCTCTGAGAGGACAACTGTTGGGACCCTCCAGTAGACAAAACGGATATGGGCAACACCGGGGGCACGGTCTCACCCGCGACACCTTCGGATAACGAATCTTTTCTAGCACTCTATCTCAGGATTCTTGACATTTGTCCTGAGGTCGATGGTTACTGTTGCTGTTAGGAGCCTGCCACGCTGGTTGGCATCCTCTTAGATGCTGCACACCAGTTGATCTTCGTGTGCTCACGCGTTGTCTCAATCGAGCATTTTCCCTTACTACATTTCGTCTCTCCTCGCTTAAGTTCTGTGAACACACTTGTTGCTGGCATGCATGCCTTGTGCGGAGACCGATGTCCAAACGTCGTGCTCGAGGCATTTTGAACTATATGCAAAGTGGTTAATTTAACCTCAAATCCACAAAATTTTCACAGTTCAACTTACCAGCTTAAAGACAAATGCTGGTTTCCAATTGAAATGTTAGGAAACGAATAACTTTTTTTTTTTGCAAAACCATGGAAATCGGTTGGTGCGTTCTGGAGTTATGTATATGATATGGGCCTATAGGCAGAGTGGTTAATTTAACCTCAAATTCGCATAATTTACACAGTTCAACTCACCACCTTTTCTGTTGCAATTATTCTTGAAAAATTCCGAAGAAGAGGACACTAAGCTTGCCTCAAATGCTACAAATTCCCAAGGCTCAGATGCACCATTTGTTTTACTAAACCATTCGAAAGTGCCCAATAAGTTAATTAAAATCGGGGACAAAGACAGGCCAGCAATAGCTGAGAATATTTCCACCGCTGGTCCCGATTGGATAGTAATTCTGTCCTATCCGGGAAATTCTGGTCTTGATCAAGGACTATAGGCAGAGCGGTTAATTTAACCTCTAATCCACATAATTTATACATTACACTCACCACCTTTTCTGTTGCAATTATTCTTGAAAAAGACGCTGAAATATATGAGGAAGAAGAAGAATTCCAAGACCTTTCCAACGAACCGTGGAAATCGGTTCATGCGTCGTGTTCCCTGAATGTTGCACCGCACATTCAGCTGATCCACCATCGACGAAATGAAATGTATTTGCAGAAATTGATGCGGTTCCTCTGTTGTTGGCACCAATGAACCATGCAAATGATATATTTGTCCTTGTATCTGTAATTGCAAACAATCATTTGTTGAAGAATCGTGTGATGGTGTAGTCTGTAGAGTATATGTTGTTATTATGTTGCAATTCTTTGTGTTTTGTGTAAGTGATTGTAACTTTTACCTTGCAAGTCGGCATGAAGCCGCCTTCTCGAATGATATTAGCTCCAAAGGAAGTCATGCGAAAGCAGTTATTGTATTCAAGGATGTGTTGAAGAAAATGGCTGGAATCTGGATCACTTCCATCGAACAATGCTTTTAGTGGCTGTGGTGGTGTAAGTAATGGATCCAGTTTGACTTTTCCACTTGCGCAGCACAATCCAGCAGTTTCTCTTTTAAACTTTAACGCATTGCAATATCGGCATATAGTCGTCATAGGTCCAATATCTAATTTTCTATCATCTCTGTAGTTCGCAGAAGGATCATATTGAAATTCCAAGCGATTGTATGATGCCTGTAAATCCGTGAGGGTTTTCCGGACAAAAAATTCGAATAAAAAAAAGGCGACTAGCAACTAGCGGCCTAGCTGGGGAATTTCCACTCGAAGGCCTCCGGCGCTTTAACCTCCTCGTTAGGAGCGATGTTTATCGGCAGCAATGCCAACTTCTGGATGGCGCGCTTGATGACGCCTCCTGACGTCTGGATGTGTGCTACACGCACTTTACCGTCCGCACCAAGCGTCCGACCTCCAAATCGCTGCATCCGGTGCTCCACCTGTTGCGCTGCTGCAGGCTGACGAGGTAGTCCTTGGGCCAACCGTCCCAAAACTGCTGCTTGAGAGCGGACAGCATTCGCCACCGCCTCAAGTACTCGCATCCGCCCTTGCTGGAGGTTACGCCTGTGTCGGACTCTTGCGGCAGCGAAAGAAGAGCCTGACCGATCAGCAGGTGTCCTGGTGTCAGCGCCTCTCCATCGTTGGGATCGTTGCCAGGCGATGCGATTGGTCGAGAATTGAGCAGCGCCTCTACCTCGACCAGGTGGGTGCTCAACTCGTCGGCCGTTAGCTTGGCGTTGCCGGCTCCTCTCAGCAATCGATGTTTGGCGGACTTGACGGCTGCCTCCCACAGTCCTCCGAAGTGTGGTGGCCTCGGCGGTATGAAATACCACTCGCCTTCAATGATACATAAAATGGACCGCAGAAGTCTACCCCACAAACCAAAAAGGGGCGAGCCATTTTGACCCTATCGGCGGGTAAATTACACATTATCTGGTCCATTAGCACTGGTTTGTACCTAAAACAGTGTACGCAGCTACGGACAATTTTATTGCATGCTCCTCGAGCATTGATGAGCCATATCTGCTGT